ACCCTTTTGGGGGATTTTGTCAAGGATCTCGTGAGGTACAACAGAAACACCAGACCAAATATGGCAACGGTATTCAATAAACGGACGAATCATAGATTTATAAATGTGCAAGATGGATTCTGACAAGAGAAAACTACAAAGATCCTCTATACCTCTTTCCCCAGCACGATCAACTGCACGTGAGTTTCCATAATAAGTCCATATAAGACTCCTGATGGCGTGCTTGAGTGGCTAAAAGTTTCACTTTCCGACTATAAAACCGGGAATTGGATCTGAACATGGTTGATTTGTCAAGGGGATGACTCCTTGATGTCGTCTGCCTGGTGAGGCAATCCCAGTGAGTTACCGTTGGAAAGGGAGTAAAAACCATACTAGGAGGTGAGTCGAGCTTTATCACTGAAATCGGTTACACAGAATTATCCAGAAACCGTCGACTTTCGTGCTAAAAAGGCGTGACAACAAAGAGGTTTCGAAGGTACTGGCTTTGGCCAAACTGTTGATCACGCCAGATTATGAGCTCTCTCGCAGAAACTGTAAGTAACGTCCGCTCAGCATACTTGTGATATAGACCACATGTGAGCTATGCAGATGTTAAAAAAACAAAACAAATGTGCCTGAGAAGGCGTCTTCAATAGGGATTGCTTAACTGCCTTAGCAGTCAGATCTACTCGGAACTGTAGCCACACATTATTATCATTATCATTATTATTATTTTATTTCTGTGTATACTCATTATTTTAAGGGTCCCGACCAGAGACCTAAGGTCAGAAATGGCATCATGACATTTTCCACTGAGCAGTTTTGAAAAGAAAATCCCACATAGGTGTTGGTTGTACTTGTGAGTACAATTTTTTTGTATTTCTACAAAACTTTTTATTTCTTTTATATTGTTATTATTATTATTATTATTATTATTATTACTGCTGTAACTATTACTGCTACTATTATTTCTGTTGAATACACATTTCTTTCCGGGTCCCAACCATAGACCTAAATCAGAAATAGTTTCATGACATTTTCCACTTATCATTTTTTTGTAAAAAAATCACACATCTTTTACATAAATAAAGCCATTTATTATTATTATTATTATTATTATTATTATTATTATATGAGTTAAGAATATTTATTCTCCATTTCCTATGAGCACAGTCACGCAGGTGTCGGAGAATTCAACCCCCATCATATATATATATATATATATATATATATATATATATATATATATATATATATATATACAGACATGGATTGTTTTTTTTATTGATTATTCAGATATATATTTACTGGATACCCATATTTGAATAGACGCACTGTTTATTTTAAACAGTATTTTATTTCGTCTCCTGGCCTGAACATTCGAGAAATCGTATTCGGAGAGCGCATTTTTGATGACTAAAATTTCTCGAATATTCAGGTCGGGATACCAAATAAGATACTGTTTAAGATAAACGGAGCGTCTACTTAAACATGGGTATCAACTAAAAAATGACGTTTAAATCATCAAGAACAACAACAATATATATATATATATATATATATATATATATATATATATTCTAGATAGATAGATCGATAGATAGATATTGCGGTTTATTTATGTGTGTGTTTAAGTTTTAATAATAACCATGTTTGCTATTAGCAGCGTGTATTTGGAGAACTCGTAAGTATAAAGAAGATATATTTATATTTGTCAGTTGCCTCCACTTTAACAGCTGCAAATAGAATTATGCTGAGTTGAATCACTTAGCAAGAATAAATGGTACAGTTCAGAAGATGGCTGTAATGGCGAATTGTTCTATTTCTATTTTACATCACGTTGCGAAAAAAATCTTCCCCTTGGATTTCTTCAAAGAAGGAAATAAAGAAATATACATATATTTTGTTTTTTATAGGTTCGCCTATTGCCCGGTTCACACTCCTTGCCCGTCTTTGGAACAAGAATAGACGTTTATTCCTTGTTTCCTTTTTAGGATTGGGTTTCCGGTTCTCTCTCCTAAATTCTTCTCATTCTCTTTCACTTCCAGTAGACCCTTGTGTCTTAGTGGCATTATCACCTTGCTTGGGGTGAAATGGTTAAAAATCAAAATTATACAGTGAAATTACGTTCGTGAGTTTCTGTAAGATCGGAACTATCATGGCTCTCCACAATTTCCTATTATTTGTATCGCTAAGCAAAATGCATGCAGCAAATCAGTTCGATTAGGGCAGTGCAAGAATATTCTTGACTAGTAGATATATATAGATACACAAATAATTCAGTGTACCAAGATGGAAAAAGCATTTATTTTGATAAAAGAAATATATATGTTTCGACATGATCCCCTTCTTTGTCACGGCACTTAATACAGAATATAAAGCACGTCGATTGAGAATTATAATATAAAGTTTACGGATAAATTTCAACTAAGTAACAATTATGTTCCAAGCGACGGACTTACTGATTTAAAGATAGTGTGTGACTGTCAGTCTCACGCCTTAATGCGATACGTGCATGTTACTGACAGTCAACATGCATTTTTGTTTTCTTTATTCTCAGTCAAAGTAACCATCCTTGAATAAAAAGCATTCAAATGACAGAAACAGCTTATTTTTAAGCTGTTCCGTGCATCCACTTCCAAAACTAAAAGAAAAATTAAAAAACAGTTCTGTCAAGTTTTCGTGGTACTCCAGCACTATATAAACCACCATCAATTCGACTCCGATGGAATAAGCTCATTGAACCGTACACAAATCTTAAACACCTATATACCTATACATAAATTATGCCTGCATGTTCTCTCTCTCGCTCTCTCTCTCTCTCTCACACACACACACACACACACACAAACACTTTATCTTCAGATACAAACCAGATGATTATTCATTGCCAAGCAGTTGAGGAACTTGGACGTGTTTATGTTACTGTATACTGTTAGACAGGAATGAGTGAAAAGACTTGAAATCAGCGAATTAATAGTTTTGTTTGAAGATTGATAAAAATTCTAGCCAAATATTTTCCCCGATTAAAAATGCCTTATGGGGAACATGATATGAAAAATCATGCGTTTTTTGGGGGTGGCATCGACGTAAAAAGAGATCCGCCAAAGGACAGACACCTAGTATGAACATCAGTCCCTTCAGATCGAAGATTAAATGCAGAACTGATAAAAGAATATCAATGATGCGTTAGAATTTCACTAAAACTTCCGAGCTAAGAAGTTTATATAAAACTAAACAATCAAGCTTATTTATCAGACTAAGCCCCTCTGTGATTTGGTGCTATTTCCAAAATTAAAAAATGACCTGATATTCGATAAACGAATTCCAAGAATGTTTCAAGCAATGGTATCATCATCATCTCACAAAGTTTAATGGTCTACAAGAGAACAATTTAAAGCTAATAGTAATAAAGGAAAACAAACATTACGTTCACTGGATAATTCGGAGGATTAAAATGTCACACATAGTATGTATGTATCTTCTACTAAATATTAGGATCGTAGGGACGCCACGTGTACCGAAGTCATAGTCTTTGGCTAGAGAAAAGAGAGTCTGATGGAGCCCATCCCTCTTGGGCGTGGTTTTAAAATCAGAGTTTTCTTTCGTCTAGTTTAGTTTGGTTTGGCTTGGAATTCGAACTTGGATCGCCGCTACACGCCATTCAAATGTATCATTACGTATCGTTACTTAGACATTAATATATTTTCCTTTAAAGATATATCGTTTTTTTGATAATACAAAGTATATATTTATATATGTATATATTTACATGATTAGAGGGACCCGAATCATCAAATTCAAAATTTCGTAGTACCGGGTGTAACAGCAAATTGTCTAAATCGTGAAACAGCAAAATTCTCCAATTGTTAGATTAAGCTCTGAACCGTTGTAGGTTAGAAATGATTAAAGATATTTTACTGGAATTCTCTGATGTTTTTATAAGACTATTGGACTCTACTTTGAACAATGAGAATGTATTATTACTCTCAAAGCTTAACAGAAGAATGGTAATGAAATCGATCATAAACGAAAACCGTCGCTAATTATCGGAAATAAAGTTTTATATATATATATATATATATATATATATATATATATATATATATATATATATATATTTATTTCAGGATCATTTTTCAACTTATTCAAGACGATCTTCGACTTCTCCAACCTTCTAACATTTTTTCATGGAGTAACAAGATGCCTCACACGTTTCACGAACGTTTTCGTTTTCATATCTTTTTTCACTGCTCTTTTGACTGTCATAGCTGAACCTCCTCTCTCACGTGCCAAGCGTCTTATAAATTGAATTGGATCTTTTCTCATTGATCTCTTTAGCTCTAGGTTGAAAGGATGACGCCCTTGCTATTGTGACCTCCTGATTCAGTTTTCCTCTCTATATTCCCCGTTCTCTTGATGGTTCTTGAAAGGACTCTGAAGACAGAAAACAGCGTATGAATGTTGGTACCATTACTAATGATCTTAATGATTTTTTTCCTCTCATTTGGAAAGACAGTGGGTCTGACACAAAACAATTCTAACCTGTTTTATTTCTAGCTGAATAACTCAAAGGGTTTTTAAATGATTCTGGTGTCAAGATGACCAAACATCTTATCTGAAAACCTCCCAAAAAAATAAACTCAATTTTTTTAGTGTTTTTTTATATTATATATTAACCCTTTTTTTACGATGGACAATTGTGTTGTTATACGATTTGAACAATTTTTCTGTTACACCCGGTTTTCAGAAAAGTTTTAATTACGGATACAGCTTTATTTCTGTTTATTTTGTGTTTATTTATTCATTTTTGGGAAAAAGTGAGAAACCTCTTTAATCTAGAATTGTCATTTACCTTAAAAAAAAAATCGTTGAGAGACTTACAGCCATTGCATCTTCTTTGTATCATTTTTGATACATTATAGTAATTCACATTTGGTTTTAAAGAGGACATTAAAGCATCACTCCCCTTTAAGACATCATCATGCTGGTCTGAAGCCATTCAATTTATAAAGTCCTACAGCGACGGGATTGAGGCAAAAGCGGGAGTTCGGTGATGAGACAAGAAGCCGCAGAACGAGATCTGGATGATAATACCAGAAGCCACAGAAAGACTTAGCAAATGCAAGTCACAATGATGATATATGTTCACATATGCATGAGAACTTTTACACTTTCCTCTGTAAATATCCGACATATTATGCATTATGTTTGAGTCATAAATAATTGTCTTTTTTGCTTATCAAGAAGTATCATTTTATTTTATTCAGTTACATATTCACTGTTATTTGCAATGACCTGTTGCAAATTATCAGGCAGCTCTTCGATAATTCTTGAAAAAAATTCCGTGGGTTTCGCTGTGATAAGTTTTTCAATGAATTCTTGAATATGGTTTTTGTTCGCGAAAGTTTTCTTCATAAAAGCAATAGAACAATTGTTTATTGCAAAATCAGTTGATTTCGGCGTGTAGAGCAGAACAGAGCAAATGAGTTCAATTTTTTTCCTCCATTTCTCTTACTGCATGCGATCTGGTGTTGTCATGGTAAACAATATTTTCCTTTTCAACCACAGTGAACGATGCCACTGTCTTGCAAACACTCGTGTATGTTAGTGTATTCTAAATTCATTCGTAACTGCCAGGCATGATTAATGGTTAGAATGACACATTCGTCATTACAACACATTCCCAGAGACGAACTTATTTATAACTCAATCTAATATATTCACATACAGTAAATTGTGACATACAAACCGACTTAGCGTACAAGTCGAACTTAAAATTTTTAGCTGAAAATTCTGGTTAGGCAATACCTAGCTTATAGGTCGACCCCAAACATACTGTAGGTAGGCTACTAGTTGTCCCAAACTTAGCTCTAAGGGTAAATAAAGTTTGGATACAGTATAAGATAACCTGTGCCAAAACTACCTAAATATGTAAAAAAAAAAACAAAAAAAAACACTAAACTAATTGTGTTACTTTTTCCAGGTTTTGAGATAAACATTTAGCCATTTTGTCGTCACAATCACTGAAAAACCCATTGATTTATTCAGCTAGAAAGAGAACACGTTAAATTCGTATAGGTCGATCCCAAGCATATTTACGCGTGTACGTTATTTACATATGTACGTTACCAGTGACCCAAAACTTAAGCCTACCGGTAAATAAAGTTAGGCTACAATATACGATAAGCACTGCCCAATCTACCTAAGGTAACACCACTGACCTGTACATTGAGAGACTAACTGTAATATCTTTCTATTTGCGTTGTATAGCAAACAAACTACAACGCATACCGGTAGATACCGCATATTGTATCGGTATAACATAGCGAATATTTAAAATTCGTCACGTCTCCTGATAAACACATTAAAGTCAACATCAGCTCTTATAAAATATTAATACCGTAGATTACACATCATAGCAGGTAGTTTTTTGATAGTACTGCTATGTATCGTATGTTATTGTAAAACACAGTTTCACACATCCGCCATTTGCATCGGTGATTTAAACAAACAATCAGTGACGTCACCAAACCTTATGCGACGAATTGCGAAACTCTGATGCAATACTTTATTAGTTTTACTATTTTATTATTTTATATTAATTTCTCTGTTCTTATGCCAAATATGTTCAGTAAACACAAGTCTTAGTGGAATATATTTGTGGAAGCCTGCTGGGGGTACAGTAAATGGTGTACAGTAATTGTGAGTAATGCTGTCCCACTTGTTTACAACAACGGTAGCAAGGGTTTGCATTTTACAACCGCCGTATAAGTCGACCCCAATTTTTGGCCATTTCTTTTAGTCTAGAAAACTCAACTCATACGTCGTAATTTACAGTATTTTTGTCGTTAGTGAGGACATCCAAAGAAATTTAATCCATGATAGATGAGTTTGCATAAAAGGAATGTAATGTTTCGCCATTGAACATAGAGTTAAAGCTATAGGTCCCTCAAATGACTACGAGATAGGAAAATCTAATTTAGTGGATGACGCCAGATTTGAGGGTCACTTTCATTAAAGGCTTGGCTTGTTGGGTCACTCAAAAATGGCTTTTGTATTTTCGCGACGAAAATGATGGAAAACTTCACCTCTCGTCTCGACCACCACTGATCCCTATAACCCCAACAATTTATTTTAGCTGACACATATGATTAATAGTTAGCATGATACATTTGCTATTACAATTGGTTCCTAAAAACGGGAATTAATTAAGATCAAATCTAATTATACTACGAATGAGGTGGAACCGGAAACACCCTAAAATAAACCAGACAGTGAATTTTAACGCGAATCAAACTATATTCATCTTTCCCTCATCACAAACTAAAAGCATTTTTACAAATTTTGTTCCACTCGTCGTTCCCCACACCAAGCCTATGATATTTGTTTTAATAATGAAGTTGTGTCTTGTAATTTAGGCTGAAGTAGGCAAATTTAAAAATCTGCATCTCATTACATGTCATTTGTCTTAACAAGTTGTAGGTCATCCCCCCCGCCACCCAGACGGTTATTCATCCTGTTCTCATTTTGAACAAAGTTAGAGATTATCGTACTTCAGTTAGGTAGCAAATAGAAGTCGGGTCCAAAGTGCATTTTAAATATCGCTGTATTCGAAAGACGGAGCGGTTTTTTCTAAAGGTCACAGAAGGAATAACTGGACGTCAGACACAGCCGGTATCGCAGCAATGAAACCAAACAACTTTCGTAATTTGTGACAAGGTAGAGTCAATAAAATAGAGTTAATAAAATACTATGTATAATCAACGAAAGCACTTCTTTGATTTCTTCCTAAAACAGGGGAAATTGAAACCAGAAAGAGACTAAAGCCAATGAAGAAAAGAATAGTCACAGCAATAAGTAGGATTCGGGCTCTGGCGATCTCCAAATGACTAGAAGGTGCTAGTCGTCATAATAGAAGATGACGAGAGCGTGAAACTCGGGCAACTGTTCTATATATAATATAATATAATACTTATATTTATTGGGTATGGATTATTCTAGTCCGAATCCTACTTACTACTGACTATTACTTCCTTGTAAGGTTTTATTCTCTTTCTGGTTGACTTGTGTGTACGTGTGTGTGCGTGCGTGTGTGTGCGTGCGTGTGCGCGCGAGCACCCTAACACGAAGTCATAAGTCATTGTGGCCAAGTATTTGAGCTCTCTCCCCAGAAACTGTAATTAAGGCCCCGCTCAGCTATATATATATATATATATATATATATATATATATATATATATATATATATATATATATATATATATTATATAGTTAGGCTCTGTGGCTGTTGAACAAATACAAATGTGCCTGTGCAGCTGTCTTCAAAAGGGATTGGCTAGCCGCTCTAGTAAACAGATATCCTCGAATACGAGCTGCAACTACCACCATATATGGTGATTTATATTAAGGATTTTTATTTCTTTTGGCTTTCGTCATATTCAGGAATTAAAAATATGTCCAGCTGACAACAACTCAACATAATTTCTAATAATACAACCAAAATCCTTGATATCATAACAGACAACGAACCAGATAACTCCATGGTTTTCTCAGATTAACTATGTGTACTTACGTCACTGAGAACCAAAAACGCTAACAATTCCTTCATAGTTAAATAACTAAACGAGATCAAAATCATCTGCAAAAAAAATGTGTATTCTGTTGTCTACCTAGACATATTGAAAGATTGAAATCGCAGCAAAGGAATCCCTAAAAATAAATTTGAAAATCGCCTATAGATTTCAAGGCAATTATAAACTCATATATTCGAAACAAATTCCAAGAGTTATAAAACGACCAACCAAACAACAAAATTTATAAAATTAAACCCATTCTTGGAGAACGACGTCATGGTATCAGACTTTCTCGTAGAAAAGGTCGTCCTATCAAGAATCAAAATAAGACACACCTATATCACTCACTCATTTGATTATCTGTGTAATGACAGAAAGTTTTTCTCGCCTGAGTCCATCCTTCAAATCTACAAATCAACCATTCGTCCTTGCATTACTGCTGCCATATATGGTCTGGTGCCCCCGCTGTTCATCTCGAGGTCCTAGACAAAAACCAGTGACGGATATGGAATGGGATAGGTCCTGATCTGTCATCTCGTCTATAGTCAATGTCACACAGACGTGCTGTGTCTTCCCTCTGTCTCTTCTACAAATATTTTCACGGTAACTGCCGTGGAGAGCTTCTTTCACTGGTTCTCAAACTGCATGAATTCAAGCGTGCTACTAGGTTGGCATCTTGGTCACACCCTTTCACTGTCGAAAGGATTAAATGTAGCCGTATCTTCTACTCCAACAGTTTCATATCTCGCACTTCCCGACTGTGGAACTCCCTTTCTCTTGCTTGCTTCCCTGATAGCTATAATCTTCAAATATTCATATGTAATGTCAATGGACATCTGATGTCTTGATCTTCATCTCCATCCTTCTCTTTATTCTTTCCTCAAACATTCCTCTTTTCTCTTGCTATCACTCTCTGTAATCTCCTTACGTGCTAGTGGCACAACCCCTTTGCTTGGAGTGATATGCTTAAAAAAATATTTCCCCATGACAAAAGGTATATACTGTAAAATATATTCTAACCAATTTGTGCTGTCTTTGCCTCTATACGTCTTTTATGACGTCATTAGTCTATCGGAACTTTTCAAGAATACAAAAGCAGTGACTAGTGTAGCCTGCTTGAAAGTGGTAGGTCTATAACACATATTATAGCACTAAATAACTCCATTCTAAAGGGATGACTGGAGAGAGATGGAATCAATGGCCCAAACGATTGTTTATAAGCCAGATATTAAAAGAAATATTTTCAGCATTAAATACCCGACAGAATTGATATGCCATTAAAACAGAATTGATATACCATTAAAACAGAACAGACATTAAAAATGTCTAATGGATAAGCAGAAAACACCCAGAAAGAATAATCATTTGCATAATTTATAGACACACTAAGTCCCAAAATGTGTGTATGTGTGTGTGGGTGGGTGTCACACAGGTAGTGTCTCAAACTATTACAAATAAGCAGCGAAATGTTAGTTTGAGCAATCTACATTTGTGTTTCAAATAGACGGATGTGGACGATTATTTGAAGAAAAATCCACTGGAAACATCTTTATCCCCTTTTTATTAAAAATTCAAAGGAATTTTTTTTCTTTATTTTAGAACGCTTTCAGCTTAAATTCTGAAACTTTATTTACTATTTATTTACCTTTTCCCCTTCAATAGAAGTAGATAGATTCACCTATCACCCCGTTCATGCTCTCCATCACACCGACCTTTTGACCAGAAGTAGACGTTTATCGATCGTTTCCTGATTAGAAATGGGTTTCCGGTCCCTTCTAAAGTGTTCTACTTCTCTTAACTTCCAGTAGCCTTTTGCGTCTTAGTGGCATTATCGCCTTGCTTACGGTGAATTCATTTAAAAAAATAACGAGTAGAGAGGACATTTCCTGAGTATTGAATAAATGATGTGGTTGGAATGAGAATGTTTCAAAAAGATGTTTCTTCAAAACCGAACAATCGTCCCGAGTCGTCTATTTAAAACGGTAAAGTTCTTCAGCTATAACACTTTCATTTTAATGAGTTCGCCTTACATTATTGTTTTCTACCGCATTTAGCTATGAATCCACTTCTTCTCCCCACATCTATGGATAAATATCAGGACAGACCGGGTTCTATAGCCTTGGATGGCAACTGGTCTACCGTAGAATGAAATGTCAACCTACTGAGAGAAAAAATCTGCCTCATCAGTCATGTATCGAAAGATACATGATCGCCTACGCGTGTATCACGCATGGCACATAACTGACTGATCTTGGAATTTACCCAGGTGGATGAGCTGGTCCAGTGATTTCAGCCACCATCCCATCTTATCGACGTACGTGGAAACCTTGACTCGAGCTCCACCAAGGACAGCGATTGCACGTAGGTTCCGGACTGCTCGTCCTATCCCTCAGCCGGCGAAGGAAAGGCTCCAATGTTAAAACGTAAAGTAGGGGCGACAATGGGCAACCCTGACGATCCGACCGAAAAAGCGCAAAAGCGTGCGACCGCTTTCCGTTCAACTGTATCACAGCATTGGGAGAGATATACAGGAGGCTAATCAATTTACAGAATCGGGTTTGAATCCGGTGGCCTGTAGGACATCAGCCAGATACCGATGATCGACACTATCAAATGCTTTGAATTGCTCTGAATTGTTCGGCTCCTCACAGGACAAGTCTGATCGGGTCCCAACAGAATGCAAATGCTCCGTCAGGATCCTGGCCAAAATGATCAAGCCCCTGTTGATTCGACTGGCGATTGACTCCTACCGGAATCAGTTGTTGAACCTGGCAGTCAAAATCGGCACGAAGATGTCCGACAGCCTCAAGTACAATTCATACGGTAAACCATCAAGTCCTGCCGACTTGCCACTGCCGACCCAAGTAGACTTCGCCATCCGTGATTATCTCACATCTCGCTGCTTCAACCGGCGAAAAACAAGGAAAGTCACCCAAATAGCTGAGAAACTCATCACTACTGAGACCAGGCTCCTTGGTAAACCGATTCTCGAAATGCCGCCGAAACGCGTCATACATGTCGTCAGTCGCCGCCAGAGTACGCCCCTTCGGGGTTTTAACCTATGCCTAACCATCTGAACCTTGTATCGCTCGCTAGTCGACCGCTCAAGAGCCTGCCTAGCTAAGCCTATCTCTAGGGAATCCCCTAGCCTCCGTCCGGGACAGACTATCCTTGAGAACCTTCACCTTATTAGCCGAGCCGCTTGCTATATTCGGTGGTGAAGGACCTAATCCTATCCTTGAGCCTCTGCCACCACCTATTCCAATAACCGCCCCCACTAAGACTCACTGCACTAGTCTAATTAGCTGTTGCTGCAAATTCCGCCGGTCCAGTAAGAACGGATTGAACTTCCAGTGTTCAGCCATTCCAGGCCTAGCATCCAACGCTACCCGGGCACAGACAAGTCTATGGTCCGAATAGCCTAACCAGTGGAACGTGGGACAATATAGCAAATCTATATCGGCCCTTCTCACTAACATTCTCTCCAGGTAGCTGCCTACTCGGGTAAAAGGTTACTTACGTGGCCACATCTATATCACCCGTCCAGGGTGATCGACCCGGTATCTATCGATAAGACCAAACTAGCCAATCAGCTCAACCATGCTACGATCACCTAATGACCTCACGCTAGCTCCTGTCCCCTGGCTATGTTGGGGTCAAGGATGGTATCCACTCCCCCACTAAGACTAAGTGCGAAGAATCAACCAGGAACGGCCCTAACTCCCGAAAAAACGAGACACGCTCCCTGTGATCGTTGGGCGCAAAAACCGCAACGACACGAAACGAACTATTGTTCACGGCAATGTCATGGACATGGGTATTGGTAAATTTCTCGGGCCTTCCACAGACGTGCTGTCGATGGAAGCTATCTTGAACAATGGTCGTAACAGTACCTTTTTTTTTTAGAGGACAAACCTCACTGTAATGCTTGTCTATACGACAGGATTTTCCCCCTTGGGAAGGATTTTCGCTTTTTGGAGATGCTGCAGCGAGGAGAGTGCTTTGGGAACGTGTGTTATGAAGAGCGGTGTTTTTTTGGCAATGTGCTTTGAGGAGGGCTATTTTGAAGAGGTATGTGGAGGGGAGGTGTGTTTGGAGGAGGTCAGTGAACTTTAGAAGAGGAAGAAGGGAGGCTTCGGAAAGTTGCTTGTTTTTTATCATTTTTGGCTAGTGTTGAGATGTTGTGAGTTTCCCGCGTGTCGGTGTATGAATCAAGACAAAAACAGTTGTAGAGGAAAATACTGGTATATTCATAAAAGCAATTAACAATAGAGTGATTAGTAGAACGAAGGTTGGTTAGTACGAAACAATATCCAAAGTCTATAGTCCAACGGTATGTACCGGGTAAGCTTATCTGGACTGCTAACCCTGACTCTCTCCTCAGAGCTGACTTATATAAGAGGGACCAGTCCATTACTAGTTAGAAGGTGGGTGCGCCCCAACAGCTAGGGAAGCAGGGACGGAATGTGAACTATTTTTATCCTGGGCCTTCTCAGCCCTACTTTGATCAGTATGCTTCTCTTTTTTATTTGTATTTTTTTTCTTCTTCTTCTTAAAGACGAGGACCTCTCAACCAACTTTAAAAAAGGACAAACCATGGTCATGGACCCCGGAATGCCAAGATGCATTCGAGAAGATCAAGAAATCTCTTACTTCAGACCTCTCCCTCACCCATTACGACCCTAGTGTCGACATCATAGTCGCAAGTGATGCAAGCTCGTACGGCATTGGTGCTTGCGGTGGAGGAATCTCTTCCATACAGATATCTTGGATATGTTGCTGCTCTGATTCTTGCTCCTCCTGCCCCTGTTGGCATTCTTGTTGGGGATTCTGCTTTAAACTTGGCTGCTGTTGCTGCCCCTTCTTTTGTTCAGGTTTCTTCAACCGTCTTTGGTTCCTCTAGCACAAGGGTCGGCAACTTACGGCCTACGGGCCGGATCCGGCCCACGAAGGCATTTTGACCGGCCCGCGAGCCTGATTACCAATGACTCTATATTTAACATGAGAGACGAGGCTTTCGAATTAGATATCTGCCAGTTATCTTTCATGAGACTTATTTTACCAAGTTGCGTTGCCTACGTTTAATGTCAAATAATGGATACATATTTGTTATGACCCTTGGCTACATTAAAAGATAACAAAAGCGAAAGGAACGATAAAGTGAAAGAGGCCAGGGAGGGACTGACATGCGAGGTAGCAGAAATCTAAAGACAGTTAAACATACACGCATTATACATACATGCCTCATGAATGTGTGGATGATACCGCATGTGTACATACGTAAATGTATATGTTTGCAACTATTTGTACTCGTATGTATGGGTATATGTGCTTCGTTTTTGTTTGATGTTGTGTGTGTGTGTGTGTGTGTGTGTGTGTGTGTGTGTGTGGTTCGTTAGTGGAACAATTTTCAATAACAGTTTCAAACCTACACGTCATAATTTCATCCATTTCACTTCGATTGATTTTTTTCACTTTGAAGTATTTTGTCGTTCCTTGAGGAAAAGTAATTTTTGTTAGGTGTGTTTTAATTTTAGATTTTCTTTTGTTTTTCTGATTTCTCAATGTTTATTTTCATTATGGTTTTAAATATTTAGGTTGACAGGGGTCTGCATATGTAATTTTCCTTAATTTTTCATTAATGGCCTTCGTCCGGCCCGCGACCCGTCATTATAACACGATCCAGCCCGCGGGGTCGAATGAGTTGCCGACCCCTGCTCTAGCAGGTGGGTAAAGATTGTATCTTTTCCACCCTCCTTATTACTTCTGTTCACTTTCCTGGACTGTTATCATTCTTTGGGCTCGTGGCCACGTCCGCCTTATCTTTGGTAGTAGCTGGTTTTTGTTGAGTCTCTGGCACGCCTTTGATAGATAGCCAGCTGCCACACAGGGCCAATAGAATGGTCGCCATCCTTCTACTACTGTCTTCAAAATTATTTCTAACCATCGTCTCTAAAATATCGACGTCACCCGTGGCAATTCCGGTCTTGCCTTTTATAATGATATTTCTGATACTTCTCCAAACTGGGAGAAAAATATCGCAAATGGTCCTCCACAATAAATAAGGGTACTCCATGAAGAGCAACTTTCGTCTTTCTACGTCCCAAGTATTCACTTTGCAGTCGTACTGTCTTTATGATAAGAACATTTTCAGCCAGAGCTTCTTCCGTTGGGAGTAAGATGTCCCACATTGCATTGCTTCTCCGCGCTAAAACTTTAGCTGAAATATTTAGTGCCTCTTCCATGTCTTCCCTGTTGACACCTAGAAGCTTACGATTCTTAACGTCGGTTGTCAACAGGGATATTGTTTTCGTATTTGCCGATTCCGACAGCGACAGAATTGGTAAGAGTTCATTTCCTAAGTCGAAGTTTACGTAATGTTCTTTCAGACCCGTATAGTAATTGAAAGCTTTTTTTTTTTGGAGGGGGGTCTATATCCCACCCAAACTGCCGGAATTTCAATAGTGGATGTAGAGTCAATAGGCTGGGACGGCGCCATAACGTTGGCGTTGCCACGACTCCGGCCACAAATAAAATTAAAAAGACTAACACGTAATAACAATCAGCAAGCAAAAATATGTCACACAAATTCCACAATAATCCGATAATAACAATGAATGCCTACAAAATCTAACACTTACTTTAGCAAAATAGACGAACGTAACGTCAACAGGTAGCAGTAAACTGCTCGTAGTGTTACAGAGTAACGCCTTCGAACAATCTGAATAAACCAGAAGAGTGAATAGTGATCATTACACTACTTCGTATTCATTCACTTCCATTATGATCACGTGATCTAATTAAGAATGGGATCGCCCATGTTACTCACTGGCAATCTAGTTTCAAACAACACTTACTCTTATACAACAATATTAAATGTAGTTTCATTGCATTAAGAGGAGACAAAATTATCAAGCTGGTTCGATTCATTAAGAGAATTCTTGGTGCGTTAAGACGAGGTTCGATACACTGAGGAGTTCTATGAATTAAGTATAGCTTCATGCATTAAGAATAGCTTCAAGCATCATGAGTGCATCTATGCATTAAATGCGGTTTCGATGCAATAAAAGGGTTTCGATGATTAAAATTCTCCTACCACTTGATTGTGTTATATTATTATTATTTTCCATTCAGAGAATAATATTGGTTGAAAATGATCCCAATGCATTTTCTATGTCATAGTTTCTTTCTAAACACCAAAATGGATCACAGAAGCCTTGAATAATTCTCCAACTTCTGATTAGCTAATATATGTGAAAAACATTACAACACCTACGCAGTTATGTTCAATGTCAATTTACCACCAAAATTTGGTTATGTGTTCTCGAGCCTATCAAGTGATTCACATTAATTATAAATATTTTGGCACATCGTCATTCTTCCTCTTTTCTCTTGCCTTCTCTAACATACAAGATGTAACTCCGGGGAGAGGTAGCGTTTTGTTCCTTAAGGGAAAACGCTATGACACACACGCACGCACACACATACACGCAGACAATGATTTGAGCTTCAAGTCCCTTTTATTTATACCTTCTTATTGAAGAACATTCCTTTTATTGAGATTGACTATTGTTTCATGAAATGAAATCTTTACATCGAGTTCAGATAAAAATACTTTTCTTTGAAATCCTTAAGCAATTCAAACTAACAGCTAATGGTAAATAACTCCTGCTATGTTTAAACATTGAACTTTCAACTATAGGAAATATTACAAATTGTTTAATTAATCTAAAAAGATTTATTAACTACAGATTCTATATCACTTTTACACAATTTGAACATTCTTTACAGGAACACATTTCACCTGTACAAAGAACATTTCCTAGTAACAAATACATATGTGTCAACTAAATCTCTAAGTTCATTGAATTACTGTCTGTACAATTGTTGTTATGCATATATAAATTTCATTTACTTATGCAACTTCTCTTGTTGAATGTTTCGTCTTATTGTTGCCAAGTTTTGTGGTATTTTGAGTAAATATAAATTAGTTATGGCTCAGTCCCTACAGGTGTATCGAGTAGTTTCAACGCATTAAGAAGGCTTTGATGCATTAAGAGAGGGCGCGATCCCCTCCGTCTTCATCAGTACAACAAAGACTTGCAACTAAAATCGCTTAGCAATAATTTACATTAAAAAAAAATTCCATTCTTAAAGCTTAAATCGATTACGCCATCATTGCCGTAAATTCGCTTAAATTTACGAGCGTCTCATAGAACGGCTGTAGTTGAACAGAAATAAAAAAAACACTTTCAAGCTAATATTCTAAAAATCATTACAAGTATCTAAAAGAGTTCTTATAATTTCATAATTATCTTCCATATATGCTAATTGCATATCGTCTTCACAAAATAGGAAATGAATTAAAAATTTATATTTAAAACACACGGATTTAAATTTTCTTTAACATTACTCGTTTATTAAAACACATTGTTTCATGTGTTTAAGTAACGTTCACGTGTTCAACTAACGTTGTAAAAGTGACCAATGAGATTATAAAAGAAGATATAAAAGTTTCATAATCTAATTAAATATTTGTAAATAATGCTTTTAAAATTTAATTTTTCATCAAACATGCGCGTTTCAAAACTCAAATATTCAATATATTTAAAAAGAGAAATGAAAACATTCCCCTAAAATAATTTTTGAAAAATTATTATACATGACAATGCAAAAGCAGATATACAGTAATGAAACAAATCTCGTGTGCACACAACGTATTGCATTATACAAACATATCAATAATAAACATATTAATCCCTCAAGTTGTTTGCCCCCGTCATTCACAAAATTCTCTTTACCTGCAAAACATTATTATTATTATTATTATTATTAAAAAAATTAAATCTTTATCTATAATTCACAAAATGTGTGTGTGTATATGATTGGATGTTGCTTATGCGTTTTCACAGTTTTCATCTGATTTCGATTGATTTTTGTGTTTGTTCAAGGCCCTCCACTACTTCTTGCCCATTATAACATTCAGCAACGTTTTATTATTTGCTATCAGTTCTTGGATATCTAGCTTTCATAAAAACTTTAATAAAAATAAATAGTTTAAATTATTAAAATAATATTACCTAATTCTATAATTCTCAAAATGTGTGTGTGTGTGTGTGTGTGTGTGTGTGTGTGTGTGTGTGTGTGTGTGTGTGTGTGTGTGTGTGTGATCGGATGTTGTTTATGCATTTCTAAAGATTTCATCCGATTTCTATATGATTTTATTTGTTTGATAGATAATTCTTCAGTGCCGGATTTGAGTCCAAATTGTCTGGAAAAAATTACAACCTTAAAGGTAAAATATCGAATAAACTGACTTTTTATACTTTGCGCAAAAGTCAAATGCAAAATTTAATTTACTTTTTCATACTTGAACCTGCTGATCAAAGGACACAATGGCTGAGGAGCAACGCCTCTTCAGCTGCTGATGAGCGTGAGGCTGAAACAAGATTGAGAACGCAAAATCAGCCCTTTTCAGAGCCACCCACCATTCAAATTAGGGGATGTGCATCACTTGTAGCCAAAAGTTGTTACTAATATTGATTTTCGGATGGGCTGACTTTAAACTTTAACTAATCCAATTGAAAGGCAAAAATTCCCAGTAATGAAAGACCTGGTCAAAGACGGATTATACTGCTGGTATTATAAAAAATGTATTATCCAAATGAGAGGAAGAACAAATGGACTAAAAATCCAATGTTCTTAGTAATGTTATTTTTTTAAAGAAGTGATCAATACAACGTAGACCAGTATATTATTATTATTATATATTTTATTATAAGAGATTTTAATAAAAAAACATTTATTAATCGGTACACAAAAGCTTTCATGTTCCTTATTTCTGTACGCGTTCCTTGTGAAAGATAATATATGTTGATGCCACCTAATTTTAAAGGAATTCTTGGTATTGCCGATATATATTTTTTAATCCAATTAAAAAATGTTAATCCAAAAGTTAAAAATTTTATATCGGTAGTACCAAGAATACCTTTTAAACGAGGTGGTATCAGCATATATTATATTTCAGCAATAACACGTTCAGAAATAGGAAACATAAAAGCTTTTGTGTACCGATTTAAAAATGTTTTTATAATCTCTTATAATAATAATAATAATAATAATAATTATATTAATAATAATAAATGTATTATAATAAAATTATGAAGATAAAAATATAGATAATGACTTTAAAGAATTAAAGGAAATCGAGGATCACTAATTATAATAGTGGCATAATACTTACTATATATCTACTTTTTCAGTCCCTTGTATTTTAGTGCAGTTTTTATTTTTATGTTCAGCTCCAAATTTTTAGCGTTTATGTTAAGTTTAGAATAAAAATTGATTTAATTTTTCTGGAGAATTATGATTATGGAAATGGAAATATTGTTAGTGCCCAAATTGTGAGTTCATAAAATTAAACAGAGTGGGGGTTTTATTGATTTAAAAATCTTTCCAAAACAATTTCTTTGCATAAAAAAAATTCATTCATAAATGAATGATTATGGATTTTTTAAAACTGAGCATGCGTTGCCTAAAATGATTTTGGCAATTTATTCACGGAAATATTGTTTCATAGTGAAACCATACTCTTCAACAACAAAACATTTCGGTTCTTTACTTTAGACACAATGTATATACGAGAATGTTTTGTAATATATTTCCTTTCGACTTTTACGAAGCTTTTTGACAAAATTAACACCTTGCAAGGTTCATACGTTCTTATCGACACATGTCACCTTGTTGTCAAAAGTGCATGGAAGTAGCCGGTGCACACATTAGAAACAGGCATTGCTTTCATGACATTTTTAGTTCCAGAATTATTCTGAAAACTCTCTAAATAATAGATATCCTAACCAGAACAAAAGATAAAGACCTAAACTTAAAAAGTTCATTAAAGTGAATTATCTT